TTTTGTTTTAAAGAAAGAATCACATGTCTATACTTACCTGCCGTGTGCAGTGGTTTTGCAGAGAGCAGCCTGGATCCTCCTCTTCTCGGGTCCCTACAGGCTCTCCTGGCCCCTCCCTCCTGTTGGGTGCCCCCACAACAAGCAGCTTACTGTGGGGGTACCCACTGCTCTGTGTGTCCATTCACAGCCCTACCCCCTCTTGCTTCTCATTGGCCTACTTGCTGTAATTGACAGCAGTGGGAGCCAATGGCTTCTGCTTCTGTCTCAGCCAATTAGAAGAGGGAGTCCCAGGATAGCCAAGACTCCAATGCACATCGCTGGTTTGAGATGGGGCTTAGGTGAGCATTAGGGGGGCCTTGGGGTGATGCTGCTCACAGAAGGTTTTTTACCTTCATGTATAGAATGCATGAAGGTGAAAAACCTTAAAACTTTAGAACCACAATAAATATCACTATTTACTCTATATAATTTAAAAAGGGGGCCCTTACCTAGCATATCCTAAACTAAGATACTTATTGTTGTTGCTACCTTATTTCTGCCTCTGTCTCTGCTTCTGCTGTGAACTTTGAGAATGATTTGCTCCACAACACATGCAGCCATATAGTTCAGTGGGGGCTTGTTTTGGAATTAATTTACTGCTTCTTAATATTGTTTAAATTCTTGACTATCCATAGCCTGGATATTCTTAGTCCCCTTTATCTGAGCACATTGGGCATTACTTTTATCATCTCTTTAAGAATAGTCTTTAAGAATCAAGCACATCCAAAGGATTCTGACAGGCCTTAATTGATGTAACTCCATATCAAATAAAATACAGATAGGAATTAAATTGTAGTTGATTTGTTGATTCTGCTTTATATGTCTCTAAAATACATTAAAGTGGACCTTGAATTTCAGCAACGTCCACTTATTCTATGTGGCTCTCCCTTCCAAAAAGATTACAAAAAAAAACCACTGAAGGAAAAATGGTTTGCTAATATACTCACATTTACCCAGCCGCTTTAGTGCAGAGGACGATATCAGATCCTTCTGATATTGCAGCATAGTGCAGGATTGTCTCCTTGTGAGATTTGGACTACTCTACATACTCTACATTACTCCAGGTTAATTTATTCTTAAAATGTACCGTGTTGTTTTTTTTTTTCTTTTTTTAGAAAGAAATCATGTTTTGCTGAGATGATTGGGACTAAAAACAGTGTGCCTTATGTACAGTACAGTTGTTCTCTGCAAGTACCTTCATCTAAGGCAGACAATTCCTTTAGTATCCAAGTAAGAATACAGGAGGAGGTGAAAACTTTGAAAGCGTGCAAGAATAGTGAGTATAGTTTTAATTATGTTGTGAATTATAGCCACTAGTATTAAGATTTAGAGGATGCATGGGTATAACAGAATTTTAGGGATTCACAGGCATGGGATTTAGAAAAATTAAGCATTTTATCCAAAATATTGCCACTGATGGTGGTGGAGTGAGTTCTATCAGTGCTGGGACAAAGTCCTATAGTACTAAAGGTATAAAAATGCTTAGGTGTACTACTCATCCACACCAGTCCTCTTCATATACAGTTCCCAGTGTGAAGATGCATAAATTCCCCCAAATTTCAGGCTTTTCCCTTGTTTAACAGAACCAAGGAACACAGTGATGGCAAGAGACCAATTGTACCATATCATTATGTTAAGGATGATTGCACCATCTAAGCCTGTGATGTTACACGAGAATTACTCCCACTAATAAGTAGACATTTGCGTTTTGTTTAATTACGATTAATGGATTTTTGGATGAAATTTTCCTTTCCAAAGTTTCCGATGTATACAAGTCTCTGAATGGACATAGTAACAAATGCCAATAAATCTTAAATCGTTATAATGAAATTAACGAATGCATTTGTTTCGATCGGATGGTGTCACATGATGCGATAGTACTTCAGGCCCATGGGGAAATTAATTAAGTTTTCAAATTTGTTCGCTAATTCAGATTCAAATAAAGAATAGATCCAAATTTCATTTTATTTAATTCGGACATACATGATACCAGTTGTTATTGTCCAGTTAGCTCATGTCATTTCTCTTGGTGGGTTGGACTAGTGCCTGAAACTATCGAATGCTTACAATTTGATAATTTATTAAATATACAGCAATTTCTCTGAAAAACTGCAAATTTTTTCCAATCCACCTGGACCAACGAATATATGAAAGAAGTGCCAAACGGGAAACAAATTCCAAAAACGAATCAGTTTAACATAACGAATATGGCAAAACAAAATTCTTCAAAGAACGAATGCATCCAGAATGAACATTTCTGGCATGCACATGTCTGTTAATAAGTTCCTAAATATACAGGTGAAACTCGAAAAATTAGAATATCGTGCAAAAGTTCATTTATTTCAGTAATGCAACTTAAAAGGTGAAACTAATATATGAAATAGACTCATTACATGCAAAGCAAGATAGTTCAAGCCAAAATTTGTCATAATTGTGATGATTATGGCTTACAGCTCATGAAAACCCCAAATCCACAATCTCAGAAAATTAGAATATTGTGAAAAGGTGCAATATTCTAGGCTCAATTGTGTCCCACTTTAATCAGTTAATTAAGCCATAACACCTGCAAAGGGTTCCTGAGCCTTTAAATGGTCTCTCAGTCTGGTTCGGTAGGAATCACAATCATGGGAAAGACTGCTGACCTGACAGTTGTGCAGAAAACATCATTGACACCCTCCATAAGGAGGGAAAGCCTCAAAAGGTAATTGCAAAAGACGTTGGATGTTCCCAAAGTGCTGTATCAAAGCACATTAATAGAAAGTTATGTGGAAGGGAAAAGTGTGGAAGAAAAAGGTGCACAAGCAGCAGGAATGACCGCAGCCTGGAAAGGATTGTCAGGAAAAGGCCATTCAAAAGTGTTGGGGACTTTCACAAGGAGTGGACTGAGGCTGGAGTCAGTGCATCAAGAGCCACCATACACAGACGAATCCTGGACATGGGCTTCAAATGTCGTATTCCTCTTGTCAAGCCGCTCCTGAACAACAAACAATGTCAGAAGCGTCTTACCTGGGCTAAAGAAAAACAGACCTGGTCTGTTGCTCAGTGGTCTAAAGTCCTCTTTTCTGATGAGGGCAACTTTTGCATCTCATTTGGAAACCAAGGACCCAGAGTATGGAGGAAGAATGGAGAGGCACACACTGCAAGATGCTTGAAGTCTAGTGTGAAGTTTCCACAGTCTGTGTTGATTTGGGGAGCCATGTCATCTGCCGGTGTTGTTCCACTGTGCTTCGTTAAGTCCTATTGTCCACGCAGCCGTTTACCAGGAGATTTTGGAGCACTTCATGCTTCCTTCCGCAGGCGAGCTTTATGGGGATGCTGACTTCATTTTCCAGCAGGATTTGGCACCTGCCCACACTGTGCTTGATTGGCCACCAAACTCGCCTGACCTGAACCCTATAGAGCAGTGGTTCTCAACCTGTGGGTCGCGACCCCTTTGGGGGTCGAACAACCCTTTCATAGGGGTCACCTGAGACCATTGGAAAACACATATTTCCGATGTGTAAAGAGCAGCTACTGTGTAGAAAGCAGCTGCTGTGTTGAAAGCAGCTACTCTGTTAAAAGCAGCTACTGTGTTGAACGCAGCAGTATTGGAGGTAAAACGACACTTCATGAATTATAATTACTGGGTAAATAATTTTATGGTTGGGGTCACCACAACAGGAGGAATTGTATTAAAGGGTCGTGGCATTAGGAAGGTTGAGAACCACTGCTATAGAGAATCTATTGGGCATTGCCAAGAGAAAGATGAGAGACATGAGACCGAACAATGCAGAAGAGCTGAAGGACGCTATTGAAGCATCCTGGTCTTCCATAACACCTCAGCAGTGCCACAGGCTGATAGCTTCCATGCCACGCCGCATTGAGGCAGTAATTGCTGCAAAAGGGGCCCAAACCAAGTACTGAGTACGTATGCATGCTTATACTTTTCAGAGGTCCGATATTGTTCTATGTACAATCCTTGTTTTATTGATTGCATGTAATATTCTAATTTTCTGAGATTGTGGATTTGGGGTTTTCATGAGCTGTAAGCCATAATCATCACAATTATGACAAATCACGGCTTGAACTATCTTGCTTTGCATGTAATGAGTCTATCTCATATATTAGTTTCACCTTTTAAGTTGCATTACTGAAAGAAATGAACTTTTGCACAACATTCTAATTTTTTGAGTTTCACCTGTACTTTCATATAATATGTGCTATCCTTATTGTTCGGTTTGAAAGTCCAGGTCGCTGAAGTCTGATCACAGACATACTACTGTCAGAATCTACATATTAGATTATCTTTCTTTGTCGCAGTTCAGACTGAGTCCCCTATGGATCTCAAAATAAAAGACCAATCAAAGGATGGATATACACTGAGATGGAGCCCACCAAAGGTTTACTATTCCACTATCCAATTAACATACCAGTTGTGTTACTGGAAGGAGGTACAGTTCTGCATAATATTACTGAATTATATTTTAATGTGGCATTTTCTCTAATATTATCCCAAGTCATTCTTTTGTATTTTACCTGCTTTTTCATTTGTTCTTTTCCCTTTTTCAGTCACCATACTTCAGACAGACAGCTGTTTCCTAGTTCCTAACATGCGAAAATTAGAGCTCTTGTATATGTCCATATATTAGGCGTACAGCTATACAGAGTAAATTATGCTTGTTGTTGTGGCTCCCAGGAGCCACAGCTGCAGTGTATTTTTGCCCATAGACATACATTACAAAAATGCAGTACGCAGCTATACATGTGCAAACGCCAGCACTCGAGTTCAGTCATCTACGAGCATATTTTACAAAACAAAAATTTTCCACAACAAGCATATTTCACTCTGTACAGCCATAATGCCTAATATATGGGCATGTGCAAAAGCTCTTACCTTAACCATTGCCCGTATGTCACTTCAGGGAGAACAAGAATGTCCTGCTTACTCATTGGTCAATGTCTCCGGCAATCCACCTGAATATTACTTTCCAGTTTCTAAACTTGAGGGCTCAACGAACTACAAAGCCAAGGTGCGTGCAAAGCCTGATGAAAAGTCTCTGTATAATGGCACATGGAGTGAATGGAGCCAGAGCTGTTCCTGGAAGACAACCTTCGGTAATGCCTGTGATTGTCATACTTCTTCTGTTCTTTTCACATTCATAATGTGTGTTGTTATTGACCCTACTGTTAGTTTTTTCCACTGTAAGGGCTTTGCTGATTCACTCTTTTGTGACAAAACAATTCAAAGGGTAGTTTCATTGATGTGTCCTTGGAGGATGCCTAAGATTATATCCTACACTAAGTTCACCCAAACCGTTGCATGAACGGGTCTGGGAGTGCTCAATCACTGACGTATATACTGTGTATACTATGCCATTACTCCTTAGCAGGATTTTAAATGTGGTTTGATGTCCTAAACGTATAGCAGTACATGAGACTAGATCAACACACCATACAAGTGTTTTCTTCTTACATTTGCAAACACCAAACTGTATAACTGTATAGAGCAGAAATAACTCAATGGTCCATGGGACACCAAAGCCTTTGTTAGAAAGCATTTTTTTTTACCTTTTGATGATTAAGAAAATAAGAAATGTAACTACTTAATAACTGAGGGTAAAGCAAATCTTAATGCCTCCTTTCATTTTAATGAGAAAAAAGTGCCAGTAGGAATAAAGTGACTGGACTTTCCTTCCATCACAGAGAGTTTGTAAAATGCAGGCACAGTGTGGATTAAATGCTGTGGTGGCTTGTGGAGATTTTCATCAGTTTAGCACCTTCAAAACAATAAAAATTGCTGATTAGTTGCCATTGTTTGTTGCATATTATATATTGCTTTTTGAAACTTACCCAGAATAAGATTTCATTTTTTGTTTTTTTGCAGTTTTAACAACAGACGTCATATGCATATTTGCCTTTGTAATCTCTGTCACTGTATCACTGTTTGCATTTTTTGCATTCAGGCATTATAAGAGGTGAGTGTAAATGGTAACAAGGAGCATTTATATGCAAAACCACATGGGTGACCTCAAATTACATTATCTATATGACCAAGCATTGCTTTGATCGATTATTGGATTATGTGATCAATTGTTAAAGCTAGTAAAATGGTACCCTAAGGAGCACATTACACAGAACAGTGTTCATTTCTGAGCTAGCATTCTGAAAAAACTATGTTTCTTTTTCAGGTTGAAGAAAAGGTTGGATGATTCCTTACCCGACCCCAGCAAGAGCAAACTACTCAAAGGTCACTCACTGGTGAGTAAAAAGAAAAAGGCATACTGTGAGATAGAAATAGAAATATGTATGTCAACTTTGGTCAGACAATGGTAACTTGGACTACAAAGTGGATGGGTATTTAGGACTCAATCATACTGCATTGGATGCAGAAAAACACCCAACGCAGTAGGTATCGATGGACATGACTCCTGTGGCTGGGCACCACTCTGGCTCTGAGGAAGAGGCAAGTCCTCGAAACGCGTTAGCCTATTGGTTGTCTACATTCCCTATTGCGGACTGTTACTCAGCACGGTGTTGACTAAGCTGTTTTTTTATGTTGTGCCGTGACTTTATTGTCATTTGTGAGTACAACACCTACTTTATTTCTTATTAAACATTTTTTATGGTAATGCACTAGGCCTGTGCACCCTCTGTTTGTTCTTTCCTCATTCATGATAGGTTGCCACCTGTGCAATAAGTCCATCCGTGAAATTTCCTTGCTACTACATATTCCACTGTCAGCTGTTAGTGGTATTATAAACAAGTGGAAGCAACTGGGAACAACAGAAACTCAGCCATGAAGTTATAGGCCATGTAAAATGACAGACTGGGGTCAGCGCATGCAGATGTGCACAGTGCACAGAAGTCACCAACTGTCTGCAGAGTCAATAGCTAAAGACCTCAAAACTTCAGGTGGTCTTCAAATTAGCATAACAACAGTGCATAGAGGGCTTCATGGAATGGAATTCCTTGGCTGAGCAGCTGCATCCAAGCCTTACATCACCAAGTGCAATGCAAAGCATTGGGTGTGGTGGTGTAAAGAACATTGCCACTGAACTCTAGAGCAGTGGAGATGTGTTCTATGGAGTGATGAATCATGCTTCTCTGTCTGGCAATCCGATGGATGTGTCTGGGTTTGGCAGTTGCCAGGAGAACTTGGTTGCCTGACTGCATTGGGCCAAGTGTAAAGTTTGGTGGAGGGGGATTATGGTGTGGAGTTGATTTTCAGGGGTTGGGCTTGGCCCCTTAGGTCCAGTTAAGGAAACGCTTAAGGTGTCAGCATACCAAGGCATTTTGGACAATTTCATGCTCCTAACTTTGTGGGAACAGTTTGGGGATGGACTTCTGTTCCAACATAACTGCACACCGGTGCACAAAGCAAGGTCCATAAAGACATGGATGAGTTTGGGGTGGAGGAAATTGACTGGCCTGCACAGAGTCCTGACCTCAACCCTATAGAACACCATTTGGGATTAACTAGAGCAGAGACTGCGAGCCAGGCCTTCGCGTCTGACATCAGTGCCTAACCTCACAAATGCACTTCTGGAACAATGGTCAAACATTCCTATAGACATACTCCTAAACCTTGTGGACAGCCTTCCCAGAAGAGCTGAAGATGTTATAGCTACAAAGGGTGGGCCAACTCAATATTGAACCCTATGAACTAAGACTGGAATGCCTTTCAAGTTCATGTGTGTGTAAAGGCAGGCATCACAATACTTTTGGCAATATAGTGTATGATTCATCAGACCAGGCCACCTCCTTATATTGCTTTGTGGTTCAGTTCTGATGCTCACATACCTATTGTAGGCCCTTTGGCTGTGGACACAGGTCATCATGGACACCCTGACTGGTCTGTGGCTATGCATCCCTATACACAACAAACTATGATGCACTCTGTGTTCTGACACCTTTCTACCAGAACCAGAATTTTAGCAATTTGAGCTACAGCTGCTCTTCTATTGGATCAGACTATGCGAGCCAGCCTTCGCTTCCCACATGGATCAATGAGCCTTGGCCTTCCATGACCTTGTCACTGGTTCACTTCACTAGTTTTCTTTATTTGAACCACTTTTGGTAGATCCTGACCACTGCAATCTAGCCCTTGTCAAAGTTGCTCAAATCCTTATACTTCCTATTTTTTCTGCTTTCAACACATCAGCAACATGTACATTTGCTGCCTAATATATCCCACCCTCTTTCACCCACTGTAACAAGATAATCAATAATTCCATTGACCTGACAGTAGTCATAATGTTATAGATCAGGGGTTTCCAAACTTTTAAAACAAAAAGCCAGTTTACTGCCCTTCAAACATTAGGGGAGCTGGGTTGTGGCCAGTGGGAGTAGAAAATGTCCTGGCATCAGTGGGGCTAAACCATACCCTAGGCTTTGTAGTCAATGGGAGGAACAGTGCCCCATCGTTGGTGTCAGTGGGATAATTAATTCCTAATTTATGTTATCAGTAGAAGGAACAGTGCACCATTGCTGGTGTCAGTGGGAGGAACAGTGCCCCGTTGCTGGGGTCAGTGGGAGGAACAGTGCACCGTCATTGGGGTCACTGGGAGGAGCAGTGCCCCGTTGTTGGGGTCAGTGGGAGGAACAGTGCCCTGTCATTGGGGTCAGTGGGAGGAACAGTGCCCCATCACTGGGATTCATAGGAGGAACAGCGCTCCATCATTGGGGTCAGTGGGAGGAACAGTGCCCCGTCATTGCGGTCAGTGGGAGGAATAGTGCTTCATATCAGTGGAAGGAAAAGCAAGCAAAGGGCAACATCCGGCCCATGGGCTGCAGTTTTGAGACCCCTGTTATAGATGATCAGTGTATACTTTAATTATACTTTGGAAGAAATGATGATCCATTTATGACATTACTACTGGAAAAACTGAATCAGGCTGTTGACCATCATTCCCTTTCTGGATTATCAAATAACATTTAGGGTCTCTGATCATGGCCCATTGACTTTTTTTAAACTGTCTTAATAAGGTTGGCCTTCTATTTATGGGCTTAAAATATTTGTCTCATAAAATATTTCTGTATTTCTGTAATCCAAGCATTACCAATTTTTGGTCTATATGTCTTATATTAGTATACTTTTGAAGTCTAGGTATTTTCTAAAAAGGTGCAAATATGAAAAACTACCACTCCTTTGTACAAAGGACTTGACTTGAGCTTTAAAAACAATGTATCTATCAGTGGCATCACTATGGGTGTGCAGGGGGGTGGCTCGCTCACAGGTGACAGCCGCCAAAAGGGTGACAACCAGGAAGGGGTCTCAGGCATCCTGAGGGGCCCAGCCGACCAGGCTCCAAACATGGCTGGAGCCCCCTCCCCCCCAGAATGCTGTGCTTTCCAGCTCCTCCACTACTGACCAGGCCAATTTAGCAGAGAGGAAAGGGGACATTGATGGAGGCAGAGAGGACCCACAGCACTGTGATCTGTAGAAATTTAAAAAAAAAACTCCCCAGCCAAATAAACTATTTCTTCACTTTAGCGATGTCTGTTTGCTGAATCTATGGGGATGTCACTGCTGGATTGGGCTGTCTCTTTCCTAAATATGTGGGGATGTCTTTGCTGGATTCGGTCATCTCTTTGCTGGATTGGGACTTCTCTGCTGAATATATGGGGATGTCTCTTTGCTGGATTGGGCTGTCTCTTTGCTGAATATATTGGGATATTTCTGCTGCATTGGGTCACCTCTTTGCTGGATTAGGCTGGCTCTCTCTTTTCTGGCCTCCACAGCATCCTTGCTTGCCCCTTCCTTGACCCTCTCCATCAGTGAGGGAGGAAAACTGAGGGTGTAGAAAAACACTGGAATGTTAGTCAGGTGTATTTGCTTTGGAAGAATAAATTACCTCTAATGTTGGATCACACATGTGGAGGCTGCTGTATTATATAAAACTATTAGTTTTGTTTTTTACATTTTATAATGGGTTGTCTCAAGATTGTGCAAAATTTTAAAAGGTGCCTTGACTGAAAAAAGGTTGAGAAACCCTGGGTTAGATAGTATACCCAGCTGATCTGGAGCCTGGGGGGGTGACATCATGTTTTACAGCACCAGGTGACACCAGCGTTAGTGACGCTACTAGTATTTATGTGTACGAGTTTTGTAGTTCCTAGTTTTGATAACTCCATGGATCTAGTGGAAGGACAATCACATATGTAAATATTGTAGTGCACTTAAAACATATTTATATGGAAATGTTGCTTTGTTTTTTGTAAGGGATACTGGAAACTGAACTTGAGCCCATTCATACATCAAGACTTTTATGCAGAAGAGGAAAAACCTTCAATATGTGTTCCGATCAGGTGAGAAATTATGACCCTTTCTGTATTTTATATGCCTGAAATATTTTTGAACATATACACCACATGTTTTTGTAACTGAATCCTTGTTAAAGCCTACTTGCACCCAAAACTTTTTTTTTTTTAGTTTTTGAAAGTGGGGATAAGGTTACATTACTGTCAGGTTTTTATTTCCAGAGACTAGAAAATGAGCTGAGTTTCTACTGGTGAATAAATAAGGTTTTTCAGAATTTTGACAAATTATACAAACTAAACAAACAAAAACACAGCTATAATAATACACTGTTGACGTTAACTTGAGGGCTGGACTAAAATTGTACATATGGATACTTCTCAGGCAATGTGAATAAAGCGTTGCAGAAAGAACATTTTTAAATACAAGAGGATAAAAGTCAAAATTGAGAGGAAAATAAAATAGAAGGGATAATTGTAAAGGGAAGGGGGATTTCTGACCTGCATCAGGCATTAATATTCATGCCATAGTCTTCCTGTACACACGTGTGTAAATATAACTTTTGCTGTAGCACATACTATGGCAAGAAGTGAAAAAAAAATCCATAAGTCCCTCCAAAACTCATACCAGACCCTCTTGACTTGGTATGGATTTTAAGGGGGTACCTCATGGAAAAAAAAAGTGTGAAGTCCCCCAGGAAATCCATTCCAAACTCTTGTGTCTCATACAGATTTTTATGGGGATGCCATGCATTAGGTCCCCCTAAAAATCTATACCAGACTCTTAATCTGTAGCCTGGTATTCACCCCCTCTTCTGAACCATATCAGGCTATATGCTCTCAACATTGAGGGTACCTTATCATGGTGGATCCTCTTGGCAAAAGCACAAGAAAAGGGCCTCTTCCCCACAACCCTGGCTGGTGATTGTGGGGGGGTGTGGACAAGGGGCTTATCTGATTCTGGAAGCCCCTCTTAACAATAAGAGGGACACCAGATACCACCTCCCCACAGACAAAATAAAATGTAGCCTGCTGCCTGCCCACTCACAGAGAAAAAACTTGGCACTTTTGACCGATCGCAGTGATACTCACAGCCGAATGTCAGCTCCCCGAGCTCTCATCAGCTATCTAAGAGAAGCGGTAGGGATGACATATTTGGGCAGTGATTTCACTGCTGCCTCTTTGCTTACATGGTGGGGATTCATAGTGATATCAGCAGTTCCTTGGGATGCAGTGGGTGCAAGCAACCACTACTTCCTTGGGAACCACTTACAGCCTGAACTTATATATAGAAGCTTATATATAAGATGTTCTAGTCCTGCTGAACAGGGGGGTCAAACAGGCAAAAGTTTGGGTGCCACACACCCAACTGTCGGTTCATCCCTACTGTGCATATACACATCTAACTTTGCTGTCATGCATTTGTGCACATGGTCCCAAGGTTTGTGTACTGGCCATTGCTTGAAAGCATTTGTTTGATTAATTTGGAAGGATTTTTTTCTTTATTGATCCAACTATTTTTCAATTCTACAACTGTTTATTCTAAACGTAAGAAATTACGAAACATCTTTTATGGAAGCGCTATGCACCAAAATGTAGTCTAAATGAACCACAATTTGCTTATAATATGGTAATTAAGCACCACTACTATCCGCAATAGTGTGCATCTCATCATCCCCTGAGTATAGCCATGTTTATGTACCACTTTACAAAAAAGTTTTGTATGATGATGGCTGGAGAGGCAGAGTAGGCCCTACTCATCCTTGATGACAATGTTGGACTGTGTTTAGCAAATCAGGTAATTGTAAGATCCAGGGTGTTTTATTAAAGGCTATAGTGCTTGTAGCCAAGCAAAATACCATCTCTTATCAATAAAATGTTTTTTGTTTTCTTCCATAAAGTTTTATGATATGCAGAGAATATACATGTCACATAGTGAATTGCATATACAGTGAACAATAAGAAGAAATTAGGAGACATGTTTCCAATAAAATGTTTAATGTCATTAAATGATGTAAGAAAAAAAGTAAGCATTAGCTTATGGTGTCTGCAAATGTGCTGTATACAAACTGCTGAATGTTAAGAAAATATAGTGCCATTTTCTGGAGTCTGTCTATATACTGCCAGCACCAGGTGTCTGAAAAATTGTAGTGCCAGCTGTTCTTTTAAAGCACCTAGTCAATGATTAACGTCAATAAAATATGGTGTGTCAGAAACATACATAGTCTAACTGTAGTTTATACATGTTTCAAACTCAAAGTGGAACTAAAGCCTAAAAATGGTTGGAGACGCCTTCTGACTTCTCCTTCCTTCTAGCAATCTTTTTATTTTTTTGTGTGAATTGCCTGCAGCAAAGTGCAGTACAGTGTACACTGTCTGGCCATTCCTGGCATCTGTAAGCTGATAATGGAGCCAGAATAGTTTAACGTCAGCATGCATGTACAGGAATTACATTAGCAGTGGCTGACCAATGGCTGGAGGGAAGAAGAATAGGAGAAATTGTCAGCAGTTGGGACAAAGTAGCAAGGGAGATCACAGACCTGTCAGCGTCAGAGAAAGAAACACTCAGAGTTAAGTCTGCCATGGTTTACAAGTATGCTGTGCACAGTTGCACATTATGCAAGAGCTACCACTCCCCATAGTACAGTTCATGTTTATCTTTTTCCATTAGTATATAACCTTTGTTGTAGAAATATATATTTAATGGGCAGCACAGTGGCTAAATGGTTAGCACTTCCACCTGGCAGTACTAGGGTCGTTGGTTCGAATCCCAACCACACCACCACCTGCCTGGAGTTTGCATGTTCTCCCTGTGCCTGCGTGGGTTTCCTCCAAGTACTCCAGTTTCCTTCCACACTCCAAAGACATGCTGATAGGTGAATTGGCTCCTGTCTAAATTGGCCCTAGTATGTGTATGTATGAATGTGAGTTAGGGACCTTAGATTGTACACCCCTTGAGGGTTAGGGACTGATGTGAATGTACAATATATATGTAAAGCACCCATGGCACAAGAGACAGCAGACATTTTTCTTGAAATTCTGTCTCTGATTGAAACGCCATTGGGCCTGAACATAGCAGGCGGGGGGAGGACGGAGAGCAGATAAGTAAGTCCTCTTCTGATGATTCACTTGTGTGTGTAATTTGTAGACTGAGCTACTGAGCTCTATAAACAACTGGGCAAAAATTTATAGGTAAACACAAAAAATGGGCATGGAGATCTACCTGCTTGCAGTATTTATCAAAAACATTATATTAAAAACTCCATATTACTCTTTCAACAAATATATTTTATTTAGATTGCTATGGTTCTGAACAAAGAAAAGAACGAAACACTATTTTTCAGTTTACACTCCACTTTAAATGAAATATAACACCATAAAGGGGACAATGCCTATATACCCTTAGTTAGCCAACTCCAGCATCTGCTGGCATTTAAATTGTGGTCCCGCAAGCTGGAAAATCTTTGTGCAGGGTGAGACTGAGGGTGTCATTGTCATGTAGTTTTGACAGTATGGTGTGAGTTTATCCCATGTTTGTTACCTGTTGGTGGCATATCTGACCTGTTGTTTGTCAGATACAGTATAGGTGGTGGGATCTGACCAGCTGTTGTCAAAAAATCCATTTGAAATGAAAAAAAAAAGCCTTTCAACACAGGTCTGTAGTGCATTTGCCTAGCTGACATTAATCTAAATTTATTATGTAATGTGGTGACTATGATATCATTCTTACTGACACAACATGCTCCATATTCACCTATAACCCATCTACGTTGCTTTTGGCCTCCATGTGCCTTCAAACCAGCCCCTCTGTACAACGGAAACAGGGCATTTTTTATGTGGCTTTGAGGACTACATTGAAAATACACAAATCCCTAAATAATTTCTCCAGTCTATTCAGCCAAAATTAAAGATCAGCAACTACAAAAACTGTAGCTGCTGACTTTTAATAAACAGACACTCACCTTTCCAAGGATCTAGCACCCAAGCCGGTTTCTTCACCAGTATTCAGTCCCCGGCACCAGTACCTTAACTGTGGGAAGCCAGCTGTGACTTTTTGCGGCTTTACAGTCAGCTGCCCAGTCGCACTGCACTTAGTGAATAGTTCTGCAGCCTTCTGGGACCTCTGACATGTTCCAGAAGGATGCAGGCAGTGAGGGGGGGAGGAGAACTTCTGCTTAAGACCTGTACCTGTCAAAACCAAGTAGACGCCCTTTCCCCCCACCCCTGAAAAAAAATATGTGCCAAAAGTGAAAGAGGAGGGAGGGAGGAGGAGGAAAAGTGGAACATCCCCTTTAGGGTGAAGTCTCGCTTTAAAGTATAGGCTTGGAACATGTGTTCAAGATGTACATGTTACAGAACAAGGTACCAAAGGATATGTAGCCCCCACTGCACTGCAGTAAGCACAATATACCACATTATCCATCCCAATATGGACTTGTCAGCTCTCCCTGACAGCTCCACACTAACAATATGTAAAATATGAGCCATATACCCCCCCCCTCCCCCAAACCAAACCTATACAATAAAGAAACCACACCGACGTTTGGAGTTATCCTTAATTCTACCTCCTCCAAAGACCGACAACTGCCAGGCTGCTATGACAACCACATAAGAGCAACCATGACCATCAATGGGGAGGGAGAGCAGGAAACTTCTTTTTCACCATAGAATCACTGGCCAGACTCTGGCGACTCACCACTCCCCGTTATGTCTTGAGACCACTCCCAACATTTGCCATTACCAATCAGGTAAGAAGACACATTCGAAAACAAAACTGCCTTTTAACCTCCTCCAGGTTGACCCCACTATTCACCCTGTCATGCCTGTCCCTCTGCCTATATATGTACAGTATGCATGTGTGTGTATATATATATATATATATATATATATATATATATATATATATACAGAAAGAAATGTTAAGCCCAGGAACCCCACAGCAAGGCTGAGGATGGTAAAAAGTAGGACACTGCTGTGACGTCAACGTGTCCCGGACATTCAGACACCGCTACATAGAATTACCAATCAGCCGTGCCACACTGGATCTGCCA